AGGGGTAAGCCCTGGGACAACACCATGCTCACCTCCCCAGGAGTCACAGCAGGGCGATAGACTTCTGTGGCACAGGTCTACTCTTCCAGACCCAAACTGGCCCACGCTGCAGCAGGGATAAAACACTGTCTGGTATTTACTTCAGCATAAAACTGGAAGCACTCCAGAGCAAGAGACACTGTAAGCACGACTCAGCGTTGCCTACTGACGTCTTTTCCTTTCTAACGTGAACACACCAAATGCAGCTCGGTCTCCAGCACCACACATCCTATCAGATTGCTGTTCATGCCACAGATGACGCAGAATGCCATTAGAGCATGAAATGCAGTGCAGTAAAAGGCTTTTTGTTCTGTTACATCGCATGTGTTCTCAGCATGAAATGAGATTTATGCAATCACAGCCTATATGCATGGGTGCGTGTTGTCCTTTTTTTCCTTCCCTACAGAACTGTTGAACCCCTTTGACTAATTTCAGTCAAATTTGAAAAATTAGGAACTTAATGCGTTTGAGACCTCAAGTTTTGCAAAAATAAACAGGCAGCTGGGTAGAACAAAGAAACCCTATAAGCTCATCCTTCATTAAAGATCAGAAAGTTTACGTGAAAAAAACATCAGAGACCTGGTTTCATTACACCTGCTTGTCACACAGTTGTGTGGCTCAGATAACGTAGGAGCCTCTGCCCATTACACAAACCAAAAAGTGCTAAAATTTTGAAAAGCCTTGCACAAACATATAAGCATCCAAATTTCCTAAAGCAGTTGCCTGAAATTAAACGTTTTAAATACCCTTTCCAGTCACCTAACAGATAGTGTTGGCTGACTTCAGACACCCAACTCCAAAAAAAGTCACTCTGATACCAGCCAGTATTTATTATAGGAAAGATTATCTGTGAAATCTGAAGAATGAGATGCATATTCTATTTCACTCCACCATTCTTAACAAAAAGCTCTGAACATTCTCAATTTAGATTAGAAATCTTTAAACTAATACAAAACCTAAGGTTTGAGGCTAAGCCATCTAAGAAACAATGTCCCAAGCTGAAAACAAATTATGGCATGCCATTAGCACAGGAGGAATAAAAATAGGCTATTCCATTTCAATTGCCCCAATGAAAATAAAGTAACAGCATTTTCTTAACATGTTTTGTAAGAAAAGGCAGTCAATCTTGAGAAACTGTAAAAATGGTATTTACACTGACCAGTATTTTAACCATCTGGTTAGTTCAAACCCAGTCTACATGCCTGGCCTGTGCTCCACTGCACAAGGTGAGCAACACAGGCACAAGAAACAGCCTGCTATGTCAGAGCCATGTCCATCCAGCCCCCTCATCTGCCTCCAGCAGCCACAGAGGGAGATGCTATTGAGGGGCAGCACATTGTGGACATTTAGTGGTCTGTTCCCCTTGTCCACACATCCCCCTTGCAGCACCTACAATTGGTTAGTATGTGAGTTGGAGGACAACATCCCAGCCTACTTCTTTTAGCATCCTTTTACAGACTTGCCAATGTCTGCGCTGGGGAACCAGGGCAGAAAAAAGGACAGGAAACCCACCAAAGCAGACTGAAGTGACACTGCTACATCAGAGCTGCTGAACCATGGGGCACTTCACTGCCACAGTCCTGAGGCCCTTTATTTTTTGAGAATGGGGAATTAAAACTGCCATGGGTGGTTATCAAATTGAGGAGGAAAGGATAGGCTTATATAGCCTTCGAGATTCTCAGCTGAGCCAAGTCAGTCCCTCTGTCTCATTAAATATTGCAAAACATTTGGGCAAGCAGAGCTAGCTGCAGTTTTCCCTCAACTGTTTCCAGCAAAACCCAGGCTTTTCCCAGCTAACCAAAAGAGAAGGCAGTAACTTGTCTACACAAGGGGCACAATCAAGACTAGCTGCCACATGCTAGCAAGCCTCGTACGCACTCACCAATACAGACAAATTCCAACTTGCACAAGATTAAATGGAGCCATAATATTAAATCGACTTGATGAAGTGCCAGAGCAAGTGTTCTGTTCAAACAAACCCCACAGGGTTATCTCCCATCTACGCCACTAACCCTCCTCCTGGTTTCAGTCCCACACGTTAACTTCAGACTACCTGAAGCACTGTGAAGATCAAGGTGATAGTGTTTCCCAAGTGCTCAGATGTGACACTGGTGGAGGACACAGGCAGGTTCAAGAACTTCAAAGAAATGGGAAATATCCATTTTGACTGTCAAAAGATGAACAAGGTGGTGCTTTGATTCAGCAACAACAGCTCTTAGCAGCAAGCACCTCTGTCTCTCCTCACTGGAGGGAGGAAAACCCACAAGTTCCTTCCCTGCACTGACCCTTGCATTGTGCTTGGGGTACTTGTACGCTCCTTTGCCTAAACAGATCATCTTCCCCACACAGGTCATCGTTTAGCCAAAAAACTGTGTCAGCACAACACACTCGCAAAACTTAGCTGCCCAGGAGGGAGCTACATAAACCAACAATTACATTGGAAAACAGAAAAAAAGTATAATGGCAAAAACACAACTTCTATTCCTTGTTACCCTGGGAAAGAGACCCCTCCTCCTTCATGCAATATCATTTGTATTTTATACACATACACGTTCTGTATTAACTATTAAATGGCCATTACATGTGCATATTTCCCCTGCCTACCCCTGTTAAGGCTCAGGGAAAGCTGGTGCCGTGGCCCCTCACACCACTCATCTCACTGCTGGCCACAGGACTCCGGGAAGCAGCAGCAAAGGAAAGCAACGGCCAGCCACCACTGTGCTGCAAAAGCATCAGTCTGCAGATCCAGCCTAACAAAGAGCTTTTCTGAGCTCTGCAAGCAAGTGAGCCTTATTTTAGCCTTTCTGACTGGTGCTCAAAGGGCTAGAAACTGGGTTTTTAAGTGTGAGTTGAAGAGTCTGTGAAAATCTAAGACTGCTAGCCACCCACCTCACAAATAAAGTTTCCTACTGACTAGTGGCCCAAAAGAAAGCCATATTCCTGGGGAATGGACTATAAATCTATAGGGGAATGGACTACAAATCAACAGATGTTAAGAAGAGTTTCAATGGTTAAGTCTGAACTTTATTCCTGTCTGCTCTTTAAACTAGTTCCTCGATTATTCCACTCCTCCCCCCCCAACAGAAGGGAGCACCAGCTTTGTGGCTCCAAGTTTTTGAGCCTTCCCTTCCCAGCCAGGGCAAGCAGGGGCTATTCAAGTTTTTGCCTTGCTCCTCCTGGCTCCCCACGGATGCTGGAATGTAAAGAATAGCTCTAGCACAATGTACTCCCAGCTTTACTGCTGCTGCCGGGGCTGGGAACAGAGGCAACACACAACAGTTACAAGCAAACTTTGTGTATTATCTGGGGGACACTCTGTTGCAGTGCTGTAAAGGGTCTTCCTCCTGAGATGTCACGAACAACCAACTTTGAACACTGGAGAGCCACCTCATTCAAACAAAATGAACTTTAAAAGGACATGATGTTTTAAGATGATGGGTAACAGCACACAGAAAGAAGCACTACAGCAAAGTATTTTACCACATTCTGCACCTGCATTTGTTCAATGCATTTTTAAAAAGGTAGTGATACCACATGCAAGCCACATGTTCCCTATTTTTACTTCATAGCACACACTAACTAACGCTGCCCATCACTTTCCAGCTTTTTAACCTTTCTGTACAAATAGCAGCTACTGATAGCTGTGATTAATGCACTGAGCTGCAAAGTGAGGGCAAATTCATCTCCCCGAACTACTGAAAGATGACTTGCAAAGGAAACCCCTTGCATATTGCATTTTCCTTCGACCTCAATACACATCAAGAAAAATCAAGGTTTTAGGTTCTTCTGTAGACCTGGAGGATAAAAGAAAGATTTCACACTTCAAGAAGTTCACATGCCAAGTAATAAAGAAGTTTTATTTAATTTCCCTTGAAGACTATGAATAGGAACAGAAGTAGTCATAAGTAATGTAGCAAAACTGGAAGTAGAAGAAAGTGGATTAATGGGGAAGTTCAGGGGGGTTTTTCTGCTACAAAGTTCTTGGTCTTCTGAGTAAACAGATGGTAGAAAATAGACACTCAAAATGAAAAAACCCTGTACACTCGTTACCCCATAAATTAACTTCCCAATATAATTTACTAGCATGTCTATAAGGCTAGAAAAACTGATTAATTATTCAAATGAATGACAAATGAGTTGCCACAAGTTTGATAATTTAAACTCCTCTTAATCGCACAGTGCACATTTTAACAGATTTAGCTAAAGCAGTGCAAGCATCTGTAAGGAAAGAGATCTATGAAAAGTAATACTTTATCTTGAGACTGTTCCCAAAACACTCTTAACTAGGGAGCCACAGCAGAGTATCTCACATGCACACAATAAAAACAACCTTTCATGCTTATGAGTAAAAGAACCTTAATGTTAAGGTACAAAGACAAACAAAGATCTTGTGCTACAGTTCAAGCTATACCATGGAAAAAAAAAAAAATAAATAATGAAAGCCTTTCCTCACAAGCCTCTGAGTCAATGGCATGGACTGCCTCACAGAGATCCACAATGGTCTTGCAAGTTATACCTTCAAATGACCCATCTGACTTCATTCTCTTCCAGGCCAAAATACCTGAGCCCCCAGCAGCATATGAAGCAATACGCAAAAAGAAAACCACAAATCAGCCAAAGCAGGTTTATGAGAACTTTCCCAAGCCTGTCTTGGGAGGATGGATCAAACCTTTACTGAAAGGCACTAATCATGGCGTGCCCAGAGACTAACAATGAAAACAAGACAGGGATAAAAGCGCTGATGGCACAAAGAAGCTATCATAAGAAAGACTATTCCCACTCCCTGCTGCCTCCTATCCAAAAATGATCACACAGGGAAGAAAGCAATCATCCAAAATCTCTAAAACTCCTCTGCTTGTAAGCTTTCAAAGGTCTGAGGAGGTGGCGAAGGAGAAGCGCAGACAGTGCTCATCAAAATAATGTCTACCAATCACCTTGTCTAGCCAAAAACCACGAGTCGCTTATCTCCCCACTTCTTTACAAGTTCAGTCCCAGGCACTTGTTATCTTCCCACCAGCTTTCAGGTTTTGCTGTCCTGACTACACCCTCTGCAGCTGCTCCCACGGGTGATTCCCCAACAGGCAATTGCTTCCACAGAGAAATTTTCCTCCTGATTTTGAAAAGAGGGTGTTTGGACACTGGGGATTCTCAGGGGACAGGATAGGTCCCCTATAGTCACGATGACCCTTAAGGGGACCATGGGATTTACCCACCTTTAATACCGCTGCTTTAACAAACAGCTCTAAGCTTAAAGAGTAACTTAATTGACTGATTCAGTTCACCGGAGAGACAGCCATGCTAAATAAGTAGGTGCAACTAGCTGGAAAGAAAGATCCATAGATTTATTTCATGTAGGTGGGAAGAAAAACAGCTGGTGCAATCTTACATATGGAAGCAAAGCTATTTTAATTTCAGAAATATCACTTCTGTGACCAGTTAGGAATATGTCCTATTCAGAAACGCAAGGGTAGGAAGCCTCACTCCACACGTATTTCTTTTTCCTTTAAGCCCGCCCTGAACTTAGTTTAAGTTTAGGAGTGATCAGTCTAGTACC